GGAATTCTGGGTGTTGAAGGCCACCCATCTTAAAGTTCCCAAGGTTGAGAAACACTGCTGTATACAGACAGGGTTCCTGGGTTAATAATAGCTCTGTATGAGATGTGTTCATTAGAGTCACTTAATTCATTTGTGGGTGTATAGGTAAAATGTAGTTTCAAGCAGCTCTTAATTGCAGAGCTTTAAGTCTAGAGTTGTGCAACAGGCTAAACTAAATGCTAACCACCATAATTTGCTATAGCATGTTGTATGAACACAGGCATTGTGGTGTGATAGCCATAGTGTATGCTTTATGGTGGTTTATATAAACTCAGCCAATCAACAGTAATAATGTAAACAGAGGCTTAGGTGGTATCTGTGTACCATGCTAATAAGAATGTAACGGTTGCATTTGAGCTTCAGCGCTTGTGGTTAGTGGGGGGCTGGGATGAGGGAGCTGTGGGTTAGATTAATTAGCATGATGCTGTGACTTTGTATTATATGATATGCTGTGCCAAGTCTAGTGTTAGCCATAGGTCAGCCACTTGCTCACTGATCTAGAACCCGATATGGGAAAATAGCAAACCATAGTTTATTGGTTGTCATTTTGGACAATTGTAGTGGCTGGTTAGCTGACACTTCCTGGGTTTTCCTATGTTGTTAAGTAATGTCACCATTAATAACTATAAATTTATATATTAAATCTTCTATGTAAGAAGACAGATACACATATAAGTAAGTATAGGGGTAGGTCTGGGTGTGACTCAGGTAGGTTTTATGGATGGTGCTCCAAAATTCTTCATGACCAGCAGGGAAATTGACATCTTTGTTCCATCTGCTGCGGCCGGTTGCCTTCCTTGATCTTTTCTGGGGCAGAAAGTTGCCCGGCCAGGTAATTTTGCTCAGTGGACAAGCAGGCAATTCCATAACTATATAAATATAACCTATGCACTGTTTACTCTTTGGACAGGTGAGGGTCGTGTGGGTGTCTTGTTCTCCACCGCCTACCATGGCAATGAGGGAGTTGGTGGAGCCAGAGTGTGGGGGCTCCAATCCTCTGATGAAGTTGGCTAGCCACTTCACTCAGGACAAGGGCCTGCAACAAGAAGGGCTCCAGGGCCCCCTAGCTTGGCCTCCCACTGGTCCCGTGGCAGATGTGGTAAGTTTAACAAACTTAGAAGTTGGGTTTAGGGGGGTGTTTGCTCTGACTTGGAACAGGTGTAAAGCTTATTCAGGATATTAGGGGCTATCAAACTGATTCAACTCCTGGTGATGGTACAAAGTGTTCAGTATGTTGATTCATGTCCCTTCTAGGGAGTTTCTGATAATCACCACCCATCCATCTTGTCTGTCATCCCTGCTGCCTTCTACTTCCCTCAATTTTGCCCAGAATAATTTTTTTCTAGGATTGCATCAAAGAATATGAATTTCATCTTTATTTGGTCTAGGACAGATTAGTTGGTTCTTGCAGTCCACTGTATTCTTAGGGACTATCTCTAAATCCATAGTTTGAAAGTGTCTGTCTTCTTTTTTGTTTCTCTTCTTTGTCACAGTCACAATCATACCTTACCACTTGACTAAGAATATTGGGAGCCTTGAATAGAGAATGCTTTTATGGTTTACTCAACCAGTAAAATTGCACAAATCAATTGCCCTAAGCTGTAACCTGACTTGTGTAGTTTAGCACAATGAGTTAACTCAGCCATTGTGGCTTATTCAACAAAATATTATTAAAAGAAACTGTGGTTTACTACAGTATATGAACTAAGCTATGAATCGGGTGGTGGAATAGTGTAGCTTGGAATGGCATTAGGTTTCTTCTAGGGTAGATATCACTGTCTCTATGTTTAGGGTCAGTAACTTTTCAAGAAGAAAAATTTTCACAGTGGCAGTTTTAAGAGCTGATTAAAAGTTGATCTGGAAAATTCCTGCTGCAAATCTCATGTCTGCCACAAATGTATTACATGTAGGCACATTACTATTCTGGCAAACCTAGGCTCACATCTGTAGCTGTATGGATGGAACTGATGAATGGAAATAAGTATTGCCAATAACCTGAATCTCATGCATTTAGTCCTGCAGGGATCCTTCCTTGAGGATGCGTGGAGAGATTGGAAGCACAATTTGTTCTCTTTTTTCCCCATGCACAGTTCTGTCTGATTTAAAATGGATCATTCTCATTTTCTAAAGAGATGTGCAAGAACAAATTTAGATTAGATGGAACATCAGAGGGAAGAGAAAGCTCAAGTCAATTACTGTGTCTCTTTTGTTTTCTAGGTGCCCAAACCTCTTGGAAGAGCCTCGGAAGATGATGTAAGCCTTTCCATGTGTCTTGTTTCTGTCTTCCTCCCTGTCCCTGACTTGTTCTATGACTTTATTTCCATCACTTGACACATATTTGCCCATGCAAATTCTTGTATTTTATTCTCTGACAGTTGGTGGCAGAGTTCCTTCAAGAGCAGAATGGCCCCATGCTGTCCCGTGCCCCACAAACATTCAAGATGGATGATCTGTTGGCTGAGATGCAGGAAATTGAGCAGTCCAATTTCCGACAGGCCCCACAGAGAGGTAAATGTGAACAGGGAAGAGCCAAACACCTACTGGGCAAATGGGAGTGGGCCAGGCTACGGTCTCTTGTTTCTAAAAAGATGCTGGGTAGTACTGTGAATTACAGATAAGAGAAGTCTGGTACTGGTCTCATCTGTGTGGATTGGGGACGGTGACATTGGGACACTCATTGGGACTCATTCCTATTCCTTAGCTCCAGGGGTGGCAGCACTGGCGCTCTCGGAGAACTGGGCGCAGGAGTTCCTTGGCGCGTCTGATAATACAGTTGACATCTCAGCAGATTATAATGATGCCGATTGGTCCCAAGAATTCATTGCTGAGGTTACAGGTAAGGCTGCTGTTGGGAAGGTGTGGGCATCTCTCACCTTACAGCAGTTCCTTGGTGTTTTATTATTTACTTATTATCATTCCATATATGTGCCCCATATTTACTTACTCATCTGCTGCATCTGATGGAGCAGGCTGGGAAAGGTAAAGCCACTGTAAATGGAGCTGGTGCAGGATTGGCAATATAAAGAAGCTTTCCTACATGATACTAGAGTATATCCTTTTTTCCACACAATTCGTGTTTAGTTTCTTTTTGGCAGTTTTTTTTTTTTAAAAAGACTGGTTTTGTCTAACCTTCTGAAGACTAAGTCTATAGACTTAGAAAAGTGAGTGTTGAGTGTCAGTATGGTGTAGTACTAAGGTGCTGGACTAGAGGCGGGGAGACTCAGGGTTCATTCCATTCTCAGCCATGGGATAAGAGGGAGATCCCCATGTAAACTACTTTGAACTGGAGAAAAAGCAGGATATACATCTAATAAATTCTGGTCTGTTGCAGTAAAAACAACAATCACATGCCATCTGAATAGGTTAACGTGTTATTATAACATAAAATTTACTCAGATTTTCCTTGAACAGATAAATGGTATTCTGAGTTGACATGTAGATTTTTCAACAGTGCTTTAAAGCTATCATTGTATTGCCTTTTAGAGAAGGCAGATTGTGTGATAAAGTTTCTTGGAATCTTACCTTATAGCTATTTGCAGAGTTACATTTTTTGTCTAGATTCTCTTTATAACCAAATTAAAAATGTTGTAGGTCACTTTATTTTTCCTTTGCCTTGGTAGTCTTCTAGGCAAGGCAGAGTTCAGTCATTTCTCTCTGCTTTCCTGATTGCTTTCAGTTGGGCTTTCCAAATCATCTTCCCAATCTCAGTTGCAAATCTCTGGATTTTTTCCAAATTAAAATGGGTGATGGTGACCAATATAACAGTGTCCCAGTTGGAATACTATGACATAAATTTGTACCAACTCATATGCTCGGCATGGAAGATTTTGGGTATTAGCTAGAATACCTGAAGCTGACTTGGAGTAAGATAGTGTTGTGAATTTCTGTGCAATGCTTGGTCATTGTTGATGCTTCTCAGTGGATCTTCTTCCTACTCTCAGACTGTTTAGTTAACAACCTATTTTTATCCCATTTCTACATAGATCCATTATCTGTATCTCCTGCCAAATGGGCAGAAGAGTATTTGGAGCAGTCAGAGGAGAAGCTGTGGCTGGGTGAATCAGAAGATCAAGCCTCAGTTGATAAATGGTGAGTATCCCTGTGGTTTCTATAATTACATGTGAACCTTCCCATTGGACAGAACCTCACTGAGATGCCTGGAGGACTTTCCAGGTTCAGCATTGGTAGGTCCATTCTTATTACACAGTGGCTTATCCTTCTGCAAATCCAGCAACAGGAATGCTTGGATTGAATGGTCCTCAGCTCAGGATTTTTAATGGTGGGAAAGAATTTTAGGATTATGAAAGATATTCTCAATTACAGAGACCCTTCAAAGTTCTCTGAATTGTTGCCCCATATTACCTTGTCACATTGGAAAGAGTATAGCATTTTCTTAAGAACAATGGTTTTCCATTGCTGGCTGCTGGGCTGTATATTGTTTCTTTTTTGATACATGTATGAAATATTCTGAAAGTGGATTAGATGTGGCAGTTTGAAGTTCAGTCGTTTTTGAAGAGTTGAAAGCCAGTCCCGAATACATTCAAAAAATAAATTCCATGTATGGGATACATGCTCAAGATGGAGTTGTAATACATATCAAGTGGTTTGACATACACGTTCAGATGCAGCCGTGCCTTATCTCTTGCACTCCTCTTAAATAGTTAATTGGCAAGGAGGGGGCTTGCTTCGGTCCTAATGGCAATTCGTTTCATAGCATGTCCCCACCTCCCAGTGGAGAAAGCGGAATTAAATGTTGATGTCAAAGACAATCATGACAAAGCCTGCGACAGGAGCGGCTTTCAGATGATGAACGGGGACACTATTCTAGAGACTTCATTCCTATCTAGAGGGTTGTTTCCAAAATGGGCTCCATCGCGTTTGTGCTGCTGAATTTGCTGGATTCCATCTCGTACTGCTTGCTGTTTGGCGTCCACTTGAAATACTGAATGAAATTATCTAAGGGTTTGGGGTAAGATTACGCCCAGTTTGTATCTCAGCTCTGCTCAGATTCAGGTCTGACTGTGTATGCAGTGTCTGAAATCAGTAGGTGAGATGGAGTTTTACCAAGTGAGCCCAGTCCAGATAAACAGTATTAATGTAGGAGATTCATCTAAGTAGAGATAATAGTTGTGCCCCCGTTGAAGGAACACGTAGACAATTCAATGTAGCATTAAATTCAGCCTTATCTTTTGGTGTCCAGGCAGTATCTGTGTCATCTTTTTATTTAGGTTGATTCTCCAACTACAGTCCCTTTTGGGGTTGTATACAACTACACTTCATATGTGGTGCTACCTTTAAGAGATACTGAATTAAGCTGCTAGATTGACCTGGGCCAGATAAATGAAATACATTTTTTCAGGGTTTAAAATATCTTTGTTTCTGAATGCAAACCAATGTGTTTGTGTTTACTTCTTGAAGCTCTTGATTGCTTAGTTCCAGATAAGTAAAAGTTTGTTTGCTGCCATATGTTTCTGCTCTGCGTGAACACCAAGATCTCTTCAGGGGCCTTGTAAAGGAATGCCTGGAACAGAGACTTTTGTCTAAGCCCTAGATACAAAACTTTTGTCATGGTTTGTGAATTATTTAAGTTCTTTTATATTCTTCTTGTAAGGGTTAAGGTTGCTATTTTTCTTCTATAGGTGAAATTGATTTGGTTTTTTTTGTTTGTTTTTGATTTTAATTTTTATGGTATTTGTAGACTGCCCCAGTCTATGTTGAAATGTTTATGTTAAAATTTTATGTTATGTTTTTATGTTAAAATTCAGCCTAGGATTTGAATTGCAAACTGGAGTATGGAATAAATAGTAAATAAAAATCTAGTGCATGTATTATGATGGGTCAAATCACTTTTTCTTCACTTTTGAAGCCTAGCATCCTTTTAACTTATCCTGAATCTGCCTTGTTTGTTCTGGTCATAGGTATGAGGAATACCAGCCTGAAGACGATCTCAAGAAAACAGCCAATGATTTTCTTTCAAAAGTGGATGATCCCAAACTGAATGATTCTGAGGTAAAAATATGAGTGGAGTTTTCTTCAAAAGGAATAGCGCACAGTTGTAAGGCTGGAGAGAGAAATAGTGTGTCCACATACATGCATACATGCTTGTATGGTCCTGTAACTCACTTGAACGGCATTAGCTAGCAGCATTTTCAGCTTCAAGGGCCATATATGTACCCACATACACACCAGGCACTTTCTGCCCCCCACTTTCTTTGCTTCCTTGTGCCTCCTCTTTTCTTCCAAAAGCCCTGCTTTAAAACAGTCAGTGTGCATTGCCATGAATCATCTGGGCTTTCTCCAGTCTGCTGACCATCTGACTGGTTGGGCTGCCAGGAACAGCAAAATGAGGGAAGAGGGCTTGTTACGGGCTTCACATCACCCACTCCTGTGATAAGTGGATGTACTGGCTGGGTTGATTTATTACTGTTACCTCATAAGGAAAGTGAAGGATTCTACATCTCTTGATTTTCTTAAGGATAGCCTTTCTGATGATCTCTAGATGTGTTGGGTTTCAGAATTTAGCATCTTCCAGCCAACCTGGGCACATCTGGAGACCACTGCATTTGGGAAGGCTGTCTTAGAAGATTGTTGCTACACTGTGAGCAGTGTAATATAATGGCTAGAGTTTGGGATTTGTCCTAGTGAAATCCTTGCTCAGATATGAAGTCTGTTGGGCAATCAATTATGGGTAAAAATAACCATTAGGAAATGCTGGGTTAAATGTGACCACGCACCAGCTTGGAATCTCCTCTTTCTGCTGCAGCCGTCTGCCTTTCATCAATGAATCCCATGCAAAGCAACTTCTTGTTCCCTTCTCAGGATCATTATTGAGTTTTTCTTAACACAGACACTCCTCTGCTTCCTCTCTCCAGTCATTCATGGTGGAAGAACACTCACACTCTTATGGGTTGGTTAGAAACTGTGAGACCAGATTTACTCTTTTGTTGTCAGATCAAGATAAATTTGGGAGTGAGACTGGGTGAAAAAGAGTAGTACTGTAGCAGGACTTAAGGTTAAGTTGGGTTTTGGCCTTTTACAGTAACCTTCTTGGAGGGTTTTCTAGAGACTTGTTGCTAGTGTTGTGCAATTATTTTAAATAACTGCTGAATCCCATGCGCTCTGTAAAACTGAACAGGCCTCTTGTCGTTTCTTGGAAGCTCTGCTCAGGCCAGGTGCAGGCTAATCCAGGCAAAAGATATATTCTGGGGGTGTAAGGACATAAATAACTATGATCTCTACCTGTGTCTCCTTTCTTCATGCAGTTCCTAAAATTTGTTCGCCAGATTGGAGATGGGAGGGTATCCATCGAGGCCAATCGGGTGACCATTAATCCCAGGGACCAGGATAAGGCAGAGCAATGGGCAACTGAGTTTATGCAGCAGCAGGTAGGACCCCTGGCTGCTCCTTGCTGGTTTCAGCAGGAGAACTCATGGCAGCCTACTCTCTGTAGCCAGTAAGTAGACTTGGGGGCCAGAACTGAGCAGAGTACCTATAGACTAGTAGCAGAGAAGAGCCATTCCCTTCATAATTCTGTCAAAATAGCCTGAATGTTATATGTTGCTTTGCATATTTATCTGTCTTTTTAGGGGATTTTTTTTCCTTCTGTCTTCTCTTCTTAGAATACATCCGAAGCCTGGGTAGACCAGTTTGCACACACTGGGGATGCCCTGGGCCTAGATCCAGAATTTGAGCAAGCCAAGACCGCTGTGGAGGTAATGGGCTGTTAGGGAGAGAGGGCATGGTCCCCCTTCTCCTGGAGCAGAGAGAAACTTCTAATGCATTTCTTTGAGGAAACCAGATCTTTTCTTTTTCTCCTTTCTCTAGTCAGATGTGGATTTTTGGGACAAATTGCAGGCTGAGTGGGAGGAGATGGCCAAGCGAGATGCAGAGGCCCATCCTTGGCTAACTGATTATGAGGATCTTGCCAGCTCCACTTATGACAAGGTACTGCTGTAGAAAGAATGCTGTGCTTTGTCCTCTCCATCCCTCCCTTTTCTGATTGCACAACTCTTAACGGTGAGTGTGTGGATACCAAACTTTATAAAAAGAAAGGTAGAGAACTAGCAAGCTGAAATGCTTTTTAAATAAAATGTAAGTGGATCCTTGTAAAAAAAGGTAATACGGAGTATACGGAGTGGAATCTCTTCTTTGCACCATCTTCTTCCTCCTCTCCTGCTGATTGAGCCTGGCTCCAAATTTTCCTCATTGTAATGCATCTTGGTTCTGGGTGGCTGTCCAGATGCATCTTTCAGTGACCTGCCACTTCTGTCCCCTAGTGCCAATGGAAGCTGGGGCCCTGAGACAGGCGGTGGGACCATATTGGCAAAGTGCTCAGAAGGCACAGTTTGAGAGTGACTAGATGCAATGATCGGCCCACTGCCTTCTCTACAAGTGTTAGCTTTTTATCACATGATTTCTAGAATTTTGTAGGCAAGTGGCACTGAGTTATGCTCGTTTTCCTGCAGAAGGTAGAAGGTGTGTTTAGATGATAGAAGATGATACTCTCTGCTTACTTACCTGCACTTAAAGGCTCAGCTTACATCCTTCAGTGCTGCCCCACACACAGACCCTGATTGATTGGCAAGAAAAGATGCACCACCCTGAGCTTGAAAGCAGAAGAGAAAAGCAGATGGGCCAGTCCTTCCTCCTGCAGTTCTTTAAATAAGTAGCAAACTCTGCTGTTGAGTAGGAAGTGTCCCACCTCTTTCCTAACATCCTGGGGGCAGCCTTTAGAAGAAACAACTGTTTGTTCTTCCTCCCTCGTAGGGATACAAGTTTGAAGAAGATAACCCTGTACGGGACCACCCGCATGCTTTTGAGGAGGGGCTGAAATGCCTGGAGGAAGGGCATCTCCCCAACGCTGTCTTATTCTTTGAGGCTGCTGTGCAGCAAAAACCTGATCACATGGAGGTGAGCAAAGGAGAGCCAGCACCTTTCTGCCTTGGCTTAGGTTAAATGGCAGCTTGGCCCAGGTGTGCTGCAGGGAGGACCAGCTCTGATCACATGGAATTAGAAATATTCCTTTTGTAGTGGTTAAGGCATCGGGCTAGAAACCGGGACACTGTGAGCTTTAGTCCCGCCTAGGCACAAAGGCAGCTGGGTGACCTTGGGCCAGTCATTCTCTGAGTCCTAGGAAGGAGGCAAGGGCAACCCACTTCAGAAAAAACCTTGCCAAGAAAACTGCAGGGACTCATCCAGGCAGTCTCCAAGAATCAGACACGATTGAATGGATTAAAAAAAAAAAAAAGCTGGTGGTGGGTGTATCTTTCTTGGGTGCCAATGACTCATGTTCCCTCTTGCAGTATTGGAGCAGAGTTGCTTCAGATCAGACCTTTGTCCATGGGTTTGCTTCATGGACAGGGTTGGGTGCACGCTACCTTCTGGGTCATGATTTCTGCCGTTTTCCCAAGGCTGAGTTTAGTATGAGAAGGAATGACGTGGCTGCTTCAGGCAGCAAATTGGGATTTTGCCCTACGCCTGCCCCGCCACCCCAGGTCGCTTTTCTGATTCCTTCTGCAGAGCAGCTGCTTCAGTATGCCTGAGTTGCTCTCTGGGGCAGCTTGCTGCTTTTTATGTGTTAGTATGAGTGGGCACCATCCTCCTCTCCAGGAATAATTTTCCCCTTCCAGTTACTAAAAAGATGGGGAGGGGGAGAAGAAGGCTTGCAAACACCAGCCCCTCTTCCATGCTGCTGGGTACAGTGTGAACCAAACTCCTGGTTTTGTTGTGTCTGTGTTAGGCTTGGCAGTACCTGGGAACCACGCAAGCTGAGAACGAACAAGAGCTTGCTGCGATCAGTGCCCTTCGACAGTGAGTAACCTTCCTGAGCAGCAGAAGTGCAAGGCCTGCGTGTTTTCCCAGTGTGGAAGTCCAAAGTCTAAAGGCCAGTGATGCTGACTCTTTTGGGATGTGTGGTGAACTGAAGCTAAACCCTTGCTTCATGGCCTCATCTGAAACAAAGCTAAACCCATTGTTTGCAGCTGGCCCTTTGATGTGATGTCAGCAGGATTTTCTTTCCTTCTTGCAGAAAGAATTGGGTTGGCAAATCAATGGGATAGGGTTGTCCCCCCGCCCCGTCCCCCTGCACCAGTTGAGGATGCATCCCTCTGTGTTTTACCTGTATGGTTTTGCTCTTTCCTGCAGGTGCCTGACCTTGCAGCCTGGAAACCTCACTGCACTCATGGCTTTAGCCGTCAGTTTTACGAATGAATCGTTGCAGAAGCAGGCATGTGAAACCCTACGTGACTGGTTGCGCCACAAACCTGCCTATGCTCACCTGGTGGGAAAAGAATCTGAAGGGGAGAGTTCTAGCCCAGGTCTTGGGCCCTCCAAACGTGTTCTGGGTTCCCTTTTAACTGAGTGAGTCTGCGAAAGTGAAGAATGGATGGGAACTGGGCAACTAAAGCAAGATGGGAATTGTGAGGTCTCTTCATTCTTTTCTGCCTCAGTTCGCTTTTTCACGAAGTGAAGGAACTGTTCTTGGCAGCTGTGCGTAGCAACCCCACCGTTGTGGATCCTGATGTGCAATGTGGGCTGGGTGTTCTCTTCAACCTGAGTGGCGAGTATGAGAAGGCTGTGGATTGCTTCACTGCTGCCTTGAGCGCACGCCCAAATGTAAGGGAGGCACGGGGCAGGGAAGGGGGTTGTAGGAGAAGGTGGCAGCTTCTGGAGCAGGTGCTGTTTTCTCACTGAGGCTGCTTCTGACTGAAGGAGTTGGTTCTTAAGACTCTGTCTTCTTCCAAACCAAAAGTATGTCTTCAGAGAAGAGGGTTCTGGCTTAGCTCCCTCCTTGACCCGCTAGCCCCGTGGGAAAGCCAACAAAGTGGTACAGTGGAACCTCGGTTTACAAACTTAAATTTGTTCTGTGACTCTGGTCGCACCCCGAATTGGTCGCAACCCGAAGCAAATTTCCCCATAAGGATCAATGTAATTA